TCAGTGTGGCCAGCTCGTAGTCCTGACACAGGTTCCAGGTCGAGGTTGGACAGCCAGCTCTTTAGGGAGAGCCTCTGTCTTCAGAGCATGGCATCAGATCAGACAGACGAGAAACACGACTTGTGGGCAGCAAGGTTGAAGTGGCAAGCAGAAGGAAGCTGAGAACAAGGTGAGAATATGACCTCCAGAAAATCTCCACAGCTGTACAAGACAGACTGGAGGAAGCCTTCTAGAAATACATCTAAATAATAGGACCGCTGAAACGGGGCCTGCATTGTGGCATGGCAATGCCAGCATCACATGTGGCACCAGTTCAAATCCCAGGCACTCCGCTTCCCATCCAGCTCCCTGCTGACGCCTGGGAAAGCAGCAGAGGACCCAAATGAAGCTCCTGGGTCCTGGCTTCCGGCTGTGGCCTGGCCCAGCCCCAGGGCTTTGTGGCCATGTGGGGAGTGAGTCACTTGATGGGAGATCTCTCTCCCTCCCTTCCTCTCTCTCTCTCTAACTCTGCCTTTCAAATAAATAAAATAAATCTTAAAAAAAGAAAGAGATTCTGTGGAAGCGGCGGGAAAGGATGCTGAGTGCTGAGGAAGCCTCCTAGAACGCGGGGAGGGAGAGGAGCAGCACGGAGCTGGGTCTGGAGCAGGAGCCGCTCTCCTCACGCTCTGCGAGTCTGTCTTGAGGTGCTGGCACACGTACAGCAGTGGCCTTTTCCTGCATGTATCGGGACAGTGCTGGCTCTTCTGCTTTTTGAAAACACGTTGAATTACACTGATTGCTAGGACTATGTGAACATTGTTGTGTTCCTGGAATGACTTCCTTTTGGTCATGATGTGGTTTTTTTTTTTTCCCCCAAAGATTTATTTATTTTTAAAGGCAGAGGGGGAGAGAGAGAGAGAGAGAGAGAGAAGAAGAAGAAGGAGGAGGGAGGGATCTGGATCTTCCATCAGCTGATTCACTCATTCCTCCAAATATTTGGCCAGGGCTGGGCCAGACCTGAGCCAGGAGCTTCTTCTGGGTCTCCCATGTGGAGCAGGCAGCTGGATCGGAAGTGGAGTGGCCAGGACTCTTACTGGGTGTCCATATCATATGAGACGCTGGCATCACTGGCGGCAGCGTTACCCACTACGCCGCCACGCTGGCCCCCATGATGTCATATTGCATTTTGTTTATTTATTTGAAAGGTGGGGTGGTGATGGTGTGGGTGGAGATCAGAGAGAGAGGTCTTCCATCTGGTTCTCTCGCTAAGTGCCCACAATAGCTAGGTCCAGGCCAGGTCTAACCCAGGAGCCAGTAGCTCCGTCCTGGTCTCCTGGGTGGGTAGCAGGAAGCCAAGTACTTGAACCATCACCTGTTGCCTGCATGTGAAGCAGAGGCAAGATTCAGTCCCGGCACTGCAGTTGGCTTACCTACTGTGTGTGTGCTGGAGAAGATTTTGAGTTTGCCCATTGGGCACGGACGGTGTCAGTGTCCATCACTTTGAGCAGGTTTGCTAACAGGATGGTTCAGCTGTTTGCAAGGTGGCAGGGCAGTAGGATACTCTCAGGTGTACCCAGAAGTGTCGCCTCACTCCTTACTCTGAGTTGCTGGCCTTTCCATCTTGGTCCACCTACCCCTGTATGTAACCAGTCTCACTGGTCTTTCCTCTCTACTTTTTGGTTTTTTGATTTTTTTCCCCACATACTGACCATTTTTTATTTCTTATTTCTTTTATCCTTTTGTACAACAGGTGTACTGTAGCTATCCTTTGCACCCTGGAAATCATAATCGGTTGTAGAGACACTGCTCTTTGCTGTCCACCCAGGTCAGTACATTCACAGTACTCCATTGTGCGAATGTACATGGTGTATTCATCTACTCTCCTGTGCGTGAACACTTAGCGTTGCCAGTAATTTCCATGCCGCAGTGAATACCCTTATGCATATGTATTTTCATGGTGTTTTTTTTTTTTTGACAGGCAGAGTGGACAGTGAGAGAGAGGCAGAGAGAAAGGTCTTCCTTTTGCCATTGGTTCACCCTCCAGTGGCTGCCGCGGCCGGCGCACCGCACTGATCCGAAGGCAGGAGCCAGGTGCTTCTCCTGGTCTCCCATGGGGTGCAGGGCCCAAGCACTTGGGCCATCCTCCACTGCACTCCCGGGCCACAGCAGAGAGCTGGCCTGGAAGAGGGGCAACCAGGACAGAATCCGGCACCCCGACCAGGACTAGAACCCGGGGTGCCGGCGCCGCAAGGCAGAGGATTAGCCTAGTGAGCCGCGGCGCCGGCATATTTTCATGTTCTTGTAGCTGTTTATTCCTTCGTTCAGGCTGCTATAACAATACACAAATTGAGGAGCTTACTTACAGAGGCTGGAAATACTTCCGCCTAGGTCACGTCACCTCTGGGGTCGAGTCCTGGTGAGGGCCTTTTTCAGGTTGAGCTGGCTGACGCCGTGGTGGAGAACCAAAGCAAGCCGTCTGGGGACTTGTGGGGTTTCTAAACCCATCCCAGTGGCCCTGCCCTCTTGACCGCATCTAATGATTTGCACTCAAGGCCTCCTCTGCCGGCACCGTCACCTTCAGGAGTAGGACATCATGGGACACTAGTCTGTGACAGTGTCTCTCCAGCACAAATTCCTCTCCATAGAGGTTGTACCTGCACTCCAGCAGAGTTCCTGTTCCCTCACACCTGCACCACACTGACAGGCAGGGTCCTGTTAACAATCTTCCAGTTTTTAAAAGTTACTTAGCAGTTACTTATATGTCTATATGTTTATTGAGGTGAAATCACCATAACATAAAGTTCACCCTTTTAGCAACTTCAGAGTGTAAACTTGAGTGATTTGCAGTATATTTGCTATGTTGTTACAACCATCACCACCCAAGAAACTGAGTAGTCGGTCCGTCTCTACTATCCTCCCTCGCCCCTCGTAATCTACTTTTTGTAGATTTACATATTCTAGACATTTCATAGAAGCAAAGTCGTAATTTATGGCCTTTTATGTGTGGCTTTGACATAGAATAATGTTCTCTGATTCCTCCATGTTGCATGTATCAGGACTTCATTACTTTTTTTTTTGCAAAACAGTATTTCATTGTTGAGTACCCAACATATTATTTATCCATTCATCTGTTGATGGGTGTGGTGGTCATTTTGTTTATTGACTGTTACAGAAAATGCTGCTGTGAAAATTCGTGCATTAGAACCTTCTTACAAGCCCACGAGCTGGAAGATGCTGTGAGTGTACAGGATGTTAGGTGTGCTGTGGCTGATGCCGGCTCCCAGTCTGTGGAGCTGACCCTTTCCCTTGAAGGGCAGATCCAGCGGCGCCTGGCCCTGGGACCCCGTCCAGTGATGCATCTGGGCAGACTCCCCGGTGTTCTCGTGTATCCAGGGCTGTCCTGAGTCTCCTCTGGTGACCTGCGTCTGAATTCGTGTTTCCTGCGTCTGCCTGCTTTCGCTGTGCTCACAGAGGCTCAGGCACGATTTTAGGGGACGGGGTCTCCACCTCTCCTCCTCCGTGTCCCCACACCTCTCCGTCATGATGCAGCCTCCTGCTGCCAGCAGCTCCCCGGTTTCGCGCTAGGAGCCCTTCCTTGGCTGTGCCCTTGGCTGCTCAGGCTCTCGAGGCCCAGCGTTGGCAATGCCAGGTGGAAAAGGGAGCTGTTGCCATCAGTCCCTGTCTTCATCTGTCTGTTTACCTCAGAATGTCTCTGTCTTGAGCCATTCAAACGTTGCTTCTTAAAAAAATCTGCATTTTCTGACTGTTATCAGTGGGAATTGTAGTCTTACTGAAATGGACTACCTTTTATTGGACTTCAGAAATTCTGGGTGTGGGCTTTTGGAGTAGCTGTTAAAACTGCGGTTAGACACCCTGCCCCATGTTGAAGTGCCTGAGGTCAGTGTCCAGCTCCCAGCTCCGTGTCTTCCTGATGTGGGGACCCTGGGAGGCTGCGGCGATGGCGCAAGCATGTGGGTCTCCGCCACCCACGTAGGAAACCTGGATGCAGTTCCCAGATCCCAGCTTCTGCCTGACTCAGCCTCTGCCACTGTGGGCATTCGGGGGGAGAGCCAGAAGATAGGAGCGTTCTCCCTCCCTCAAATAAGGGACTACATAATTTTAAATATTTAGGGTTTTTTGTTTGTTTGTTTGTTTTTGTTTTGTGTCAGTTCTGTTTGAGCCTCCTCTTCAGCAGTGATGTGATGAAATGGCAGAGCCATGTTTTAGTAGCAGTGTTTTAGACAGCAGTGACTAATATATGTGAGTGGTTATTGAATTTTTATTGTGGAGGAAAAAAAGTTGTGTGTGTGTGTGTGTGTGTTTTGACAGGCAGAGTGGACAGTGAGAGAGAGAGAGAAAGGTCTTCCTTTGCCGTTGGTTCACCCTCCAATGGCCGCCGCGGCCGGCGTGCTGTGGCTGGCGCACCGTGCTGATCCAATGGCAGGAGCCAGGTACTTCTCCTGGTCTCCCATGGGGTGCAGGGCCCAAGGACTTGGGCCATCCTCCACTGCACTCCCTGGCCGCAGCAGAGGGCTGGCCTGGAAGAGGGGCAACCGGGACTAGAACCCAGTGTGCCAGCGCCACAAGGCGGAGGATTAGCCTAGTGAGCCGCGGCGCCGGCCAGAAAAAAAGCTTTCTCCTAGGTGGAAATTCTGAAAAATAGGCAGTAAATTAATAAACCTGACGCTACTATGAGCTTTTCCCACAAAATAAAAGGGTGTGGTTGAAAAAAAATACGGATGTTAAGTTATATTGTTTATAGCTAGCAGTGAAGTTTTGATGTAACTGACATAGGGGTGGAGTGCTCCCCTTCTAATACTTGTGGAACAAGTACTGACTGTGCTGTGCCCTGGGTGTGGCGGGACACAGGGATTATTTTGATAGGTTAGGGCCCGCTCTCCAGTTCCTCTACGACTGTATATTGTGATAGAGAATGTAGAAGTGCTGTTAATACAGATACCAGTATCACATTGGTAGATTTCAAGTAGCATGCACTGAAAATGCTTTCTTTCTTTTAACAGAATATGACAGATACCTAGCATCTAGCAAAACAATGGCAGCTGCTTACCTCGACCCGAACTTGAATCACACAGCGAATCCCAGTGCCAAGACTCACCTGGGTCCTGGCATGGAGCGCTCCCCTGGTGCCATGGAGCGAGTGTTGAAAGTCTTTCATTACTTTGAAAGCAATAGTGAGCCAACCACCTGGGCCAGTATTATCAGGCATGGAGATGCGACTGATGTCAGGGTAAGTACGTTCTCCCGTGAGACATCTTCATGCAGGTTATGTCCAATGGCACATGCAAGGAATGAGAAAGCAGTAGTTTTTATTAACCTGTCAGTGAATTACTGTTTTATAGAGATAGTAGCTTTTTCTTTATCAGATTTTTTCAGTTACTGTATGCTTGACTAGAGTTTTAATTATTCTAAAATTTCTTAAGAAAATGATAACTGAGTTCATAGTATTTCGGTCATGCACTGCCATTGGCTTGATCATCTTCTCTAATTTTTTTTTTATCCTTGGAAGAATACAAGGAAACAAAGCAATTAGAGCAATGGCCTCTACTATGTATCTGCATAATTCCAGACAGGATAATTGCTTTAAAAGCCGGTTTATGTTATATACCAGACTCCGTGCTGGGTTCCGTGGGTGTAAAAGGTCTGTGGAAGGCTCTTGGTCTTAGAGCCCGGAGTCTGTGGGGGTGGGGGAGGCGGCAGGGTCCAGTGTGGAAAGTGCTGCAGCCAGGGATCACAGTGGGCGTGCGCCTGAAGGGACGGCGCCGAGAAGCAGGAGTTAGTGCTGGGAAGCCTCCCTCGGGTCTGGGGGGTCAGTGATGGTGAGACAGAAAGGAAGGGCAGCACGTGCTGGGGCGGATAAGGCTGTTCCTGAGAGTGAGGGGGGCGGCGGCACTGTGACTGCGGAGCCGGGGTTCAGTGTGCACGCTTTCAGGAAGCGCCTCACTTTTTTTT